GTCGACGTCTTGATTATCGTTTCTAACTTCCGTGGAGGGGGGTACTTCAGGAGTCATTTGCTGGACCGGTGAGTCACTATCCAAGTCAAAACCTCCAAACGAGTCCTTTGAAGTCGACTCGACAACGGCACTAGGAGCCATTTGCTGGACAGGTGAGTCACTATCCAAGTCAAAACCTTCAAACGAGTCCTTTGAAGTCGATTCGACAACGGCACTAGGAGCCATTGTGCACTCTTTTGTGTCAGCTAAGACGTCGCTAACAAGCAGCGTGACAGAGGAAGCAAGTAAAGCGTGATATAGGCGCATCGAGGTACTTCGACTTGTAGTGGAAGATGCTAATTTGAAAATGATGAAATAACAAGGTTTCGTTTGAACAGCTACGTCATGAACTCGCTAGTTCAGCGTGACGTTTTTGATCGGCAGATATAGTCCACGATCACTCACTTTTGTTATGTGCTGTCTGCTGTGTGTACGCATTAAAGTTCTTCCAGCTGTCCCTTGTTGCTATATCGCCTCGATGTCCAAGGTTTCTGAACCACAACCTAGTGTTGCATTTTGCATCTGTTCTTTAAGAATTTGATGTAAGGGAATGCAGTGGCACGTACCATCTAGTTAGAAGTCTCAGTAGTTGGCGTAATACTCTTAATATTATTGGACCTACAAACGTGACAGCTGCTGTAGGGCTTCAGCAATCTGAATCAATGGTAGTGGTAGAGCCTTAGAATGATTCGTGTCGTCTTTTCCGATTCATTCAGCGCGTTGTAGTTCTTAAGGATAAACAGGAAAAAAGGTGCATCGCTACAACGAATCATGAAAAAATTTGAACACAGGTCAGTAACTATGAGTATAACTAGCAAAATCTAAGTTGGCATAAAATAGCACATGTTGGGTACGAATGAACGTCAATTGTTTCGACGAATAATGTCATAAAAGCGCTCATGTATATAACTAATTGATTATGCACGAGTGGAACACGGATGCCGACACTAATTTTTGCCCTTTACTCTACTAGTCTCTTACTGAGACCATACACCTGGTTATAAGTCGAGCAGATTATTACATATTACGTGCTGTTCGTTGAAATTTATCTCATGCTGGCACCCGCGAGAAATGTATTATGTCTGGATCCTTGCCAAAGTCATGCTTGCTACTATAAGACTTCATGTCGTCATGACGAACGAGCTCAGTAGCTTAATGATAACAGCAGTGTGGCGTCACTTATGATGACGCAATTTCGACCCCTTCATGATCGCGTCTTGGTGAGAAGATCAGTCCAAAAGCTCAGACTGTCTCTGTATTCTATTTTTTATAGAAAAACAACTCTCGACCATTATGTGGAACAGCTTCTGTGCTATAGTGTCTCTCACAGCCTAATGCTCAATGCTAAGTACAATAACGTCAACAATAGTGGCACGAAGCCATCTTGACACATCGCAACGTATAACAAATATACATAAGTGCAACTGTTCAACCCAAATACAGCGTTTTGGGCATACCAAGAATGTGGAAGCTACACGGAACAAGTCAGCGTCACCTTGTAAAAGAAACTTACTCCGAATATCCTAAGTAAAATTATAATAGAAATGTTCTACTGCATTAATGGAAGCAGTTGTCGTACTGCTTTGCTAAACACACCAGATAGCGCTACTCGCACCTCTGCATTTGATACCTTGACAAGGTCCGTAAGCAGCGGGTATAGCCACGACATATGGTGTTGCAGCTATAAAATGCAACAAAACGCAAGTGAGTTGGTTGATCTTATGTTATCGCTGCAGATTGACAGCATTCCGTACCTCAGCTTTGTCGAAATCCGCCAGCTCCTTCAACGTCGCAACTAATAATGGTGTAAAGCTTTCGACACGCTGTTGTGCGTCCACAGGCATGTTTGACTCACCAATGTACTGCGGGGCGACCTCTGTCCAAGCCAAAAATTCCTGAAATATTTCTTGTAGCAAGCGTACCATGTACTTTCGAGCTTCTTCTTGTTCTCCTATCGGTGCAACTTTTACACCATTGACGCATTGCACAAGAGTAGAAAGAAGAACATGAAGATACTGCTGCTTTCCAGTAACTTCTTGTGGTAATAAACTCGGTAATTGCGTCGATGAGGACACCGTCATCCCATACCGCCAGCCAGCACGTTGAAAATATCGACGCAATTGCATTGCATCATTTACTTTACGCGCAAACAGAAAACTTTCACGTAAACACGACAGCAGTGAGCGTGCGTGACCAGCGCTTAGAGATAAATTCTCTATTCGACGGTTTGCTAGAACATTACCAGCAACTCGCTGCAACGCCAAGAGTACCGACAAATGCGTATGCGAAGGCACTCGTTGCGCTCCGACTTCTTCCACACTGATCATCCTTGGAGGAAAGTTGGCAGCAAATGTAAAGCCCAATGTTGTGATGACACCTGGATACAAACTTAAAAACGAAGGTTGACGTGGTGACGCGAGATTGGCCACAGTTACTGTAGATGACAGTGAAAGATTGACTGGGCATTCAGATTTGGCTTCCGTCAAAGAAACAGAAGCTGACAAACCTTTGTCATCTTCATGAGGTATCGCAAAGAAGATCCATGTGGGCTCGGCACGCTTCATGACGTTGCGCAGCTCGTCGGCGATCATTCCCCAAACATCCTCCGGAAATTTGTGCCCGTGTTTCACAAGCACGACTTCTAGTGCACGTGCCGAAGCGATTGCAAGCTGCTCTTCAGCATCACCAGCATCCATACACTTGCCTAGCAAGAACAACACTTCTGGCAAGAACCCCACAATGTCGTAAAAGAGACCAAAGCACTCCAGCAGCCGCTCTAGGCATAGCGTTGCTGTAGTCTTTCCAGCCGTATACGGAGGCATACGAGAAGTATCAATACGTGAAAGTATAGGAAGCTTAGGTTGTCTAAGCGTCCCCTTATCTACTACCACTTCAAGATGACGAAGTTCGTCGAGTAGGGGAATGAGAACGCCTTTAAAAATAAGTCCCCAAAGTCCAGATGAAAACTTGTTGCCGTGCTTTTCCAGCGCATCAAACATTGCGTCAAGAGCTGCAAGACGCACGTCCAGGCGGCGATCAGCAGCAAGCGTCGATAAAGCCGTGAGTACAGGCCACCACATGCGCGTATGCACAGCTGAGTCGTTGTATACTGCTCCACTCACTTCCTGCTCTTCCTCCTGTGTTTCAACAGAATCTGCTCTTCTGCGTGGAGATATGAATGAAAAAGCGGATGCTCCCTCTTTTCGAGGTGACAGCTCTGCCACTTCTTCTTCCAACGAGCGCACCGATTCTTGCTTTTGATAGCGCACCGAAGTACGTTTTGAAGGCGACTGGACTCCAGCAGCTGTATTTCCATCCGCTATTGGATCCTCCGCTGAAACCTTAACCTTTTTAAATCCGACGCGAGCTGCTTGCTTGGCAGCAGCAGCGGCTGCTGCCGCCGTCACAGGAGCAGTTATTGATAGCGAGCCGACCGTTTCTCGCGCGAAGAGCGGCTCAATGACCTCACCGGTTGCCAGCTTTTCAATACACACATTTCGTATCAATCCAGCACTGTCAACTCCAAGCTTTGTGAGCGTCAGTCGCTCCTCTGATTGACGCTCGACCTCTTCACATCCACACACGGCAAATGCCAGTAGACATTCCACAGCATCGACAAACACGTCTACGATACAGTCAAAGTGTCGCTCCAGTACGCCACGTGCTACCTGGAAGCCCAACAACACGACGCGGTCTTCACTTCCTGGTGCATACGTTTCGGCAGCAACACGTAAGACACCCCATATCGTTTTCCAGCCAGAGCGAATGTTGCCAACGCGAGCCAATACGAGATTCTCCACACATCGCAAAACAAGCTCTCGAGTTTCGAGCGACGTGGCATTGGCCATAATCACTTCAAATGGCGCCAAGAAAAGACGTTGGAAGTTGAAATCACGCAACTCGGCGCGCTCAAGAAATTTCATGCTCAGCTGACGCAACGAGTCAATCGCATACATACCGACAGTTAAGTCTTCGTGACATCCAATTGTTGTAAAATGCCGTGACAAAGTTTGCCACGTCGCAGCCCAGACCATGCGTGATCGGGTTCGCATGTTCATATCTGCGACTTCCACAAGCTTTTGCAAGCTAAAAACACGAGGAGGAGAGCCACCAGCTGTGCCTGAAGGACCTACGCCTGAACACTCGGAGAGCGAGACCACCGTGAGCTGAAGGACAAAATCTTGAAGCGCTTGGTCGCTTAGCGATACAGAACTTGAAAAGACACGATCACTTGCTAATTGGTCGATCTCACTGAGGACACGAGCTGCATTTTCGTCTTCAATGGCTGCCCCATGCGCTTCGTCCAGCTCCGAGCCGCTGTTACGGCCACTTAACTCACGATGCGACGGAGACGGAGACGATAGCATATTTCCGCGCTTACTGCTAGCAGCCGAGCCGAGCACACTAAATGACGATGCTGAGCTCGTGCTGCTGTTGCGAGAGCTTAAATGACCCGTCATACCTGGAGAAGGCTGTCGATTAAAATACGAAGACTCACCATGAAATGATCCTGCACCCAAACGTTCATGTAAACCTTGCGCATGCGTCTGAATGCGAGCCAATTGAGAAATGGCTTGAAGCACGTCATGCCACGAATCTCCAAGATAATTACCCTCTTTCACACTGATCGAAATAAGAGCCTTGATAGCTTCCATGTTCTTAGACCGCATCAACCGCGAGTTAGTTGTGTGAAGTGCCGTGAATTTAGCTAATACTGTCACAAATGCATCCCTTTCTGCCGGCATACCTAGTCTCGCAGACAAGTGAACAGCATGGCGGAACGAGTCCAAGCATAATTGGATGGCTTCGGCTGACTCAGAGCTCTCAAATGTCACTGAACATGCTGCCAAGAGCGGAGCCCATAACGTGTCAAACATAGGACGAACATGTGAGCGCTCATTTGCTCCCGAGACTTCGTGAAATGTCGATGATATCGGATCAGGTGTCAACAACGACGACACACCCTCACTGCGTTGAGTAGGATATGCTCTTGACGATCCATCTGATGCACCACTAAGTCGAGGGCCTCGAGAAGTCATCGGCGAGTGATGTTGTGTTCGTGACGATGCTGGAATTCGTCGTTTGAATAGCGCTTCCGACTGACGCACCATAGACTCACGCTCTTTAATGTAAGCATCACGTCGCATGCGATCTGTTGCTGCATTGGAAGCTCCGAACAACGAGCTAGACGCACTTGGGACGGTGACGCCCCGTCGATTACGAAAGTCATCGTCTTCTTTGAGTGAAATCGGCGTTGCTTTGATTCGATCAAAGATCGCTCCCATATAATCCTCCGGTAGATCCTTGCCATCATTTATACCCCGATTGTTGCGTAAGAATCCTGCTTTGTCCATTTTTTTTTCCTCAGCAATACTTGGGTTGTGTAAATCTGTCTGTAGCATGATGATCGAAAACGCCAGAATAAATGCAGTGTCAGCACTCGGGAACAAGCCTGGTGGACAAGCGTTGAAGAAGCGTTCAGCAAATTTCTCCATCATTCGGTCAATTTTCTGCGATTCACCAGGTAAGCGGAAGCCTGCAAGAAAGTGGCGGATAGCAATATCGATTTCCAAGCCCGTAAAGTCCATCATATCAACGTATTCGTGGAGAACTTTGACGCAAAAGCCTCCTTGATAATGAACACCGTTGCCAAGATAATCGCCTACCATAGTTTTGTCTAATTTATCGCTTGAAGAATGTAGAAATTGCGCCACATCTCGAGGTGATCCTTCCCCCATATGGCCATGCGCAACAAGATACGCTATTCCAGCACTGGGTTTTACATTGAACTTAAGAATTCCTGTCGCCATCTCTTCTTGCCGTTTTCTTTTACTCTCAAAAGCCTCAACGGCAGACATGGTGGACGACACAACTGGAAGTAGATCTGGAGGAGCGACAATATCTTCTTCGTTACCAATTTCATTGGTATGAGACTCTTCTCCTTCCTGCTGAGATGACTGTCGCTCGACTTCAACACAATTGGCCGCTTTTTTTAACGAAGCAGTCGTCGCGGTAAGACACTCCAAACCTTTGAGAGCAAGAGCAGCGTCCTGTTGCAACATTTTGACTCTGGCACTACTAGACAAACTGGCTGCATATTGCTGCGCGGCGGGATCTTGCGATCGACTTCCCTTTGCAGCTTTGGCCAGTGCATGTACAATCTGTTTAAATAAATCATTTGTGTTCCAATCGCAGTCGTAATTGATAAAAATTTCCCCCAGCGTTTGTGGATCGTCACAAATGGCATGAAGCGCCTCGAGAACGAGCAATTTGTGTTCAAAACTAGCATTTTCCGACTGCAATAAACGTAGAAAGATACTCGTAATAAAAATGTCCAATTCAGTCTTTAAATGGCGCTTGAAATTGCGAAGTAGAACAAGAAATACTTGCAACGACATGGATACTATCTGTGTGTAATTACTCGTGCAGTTTTGAAGTAGTGACTGGCATAAATACTGTCGAATTGCGTGCACAAAGCGTTCACCGCGTCGAAACGATGGACCAGCATTCTCGACAATCTCTTTTAAGAGATCCAGTGACAATATCTTACTCTGAAACGCGAATGGATCCTCTGAATTCGCAGCATTTCCTGCAATTCCAGTCGGAGATGCGTTAGCTCCATCATCCGCCACGGATCGCATTGAGATTCGACAGAGGGACCGAAATAATAAGAACGCATCTTTGTGTAGAACAGACGGGAAAGCAGGAGTGTTTGCTGGCTGTGCTAGCGTTTCTGCTGACGTATTTTTCCTGGCCATTGAAGCTTCCGATTGTTTATCATGACGTGCCGTAGTAGAGCGAAACAGTATAGCGACAGATGGGTACCAAGCAGCAGTGCGCTCTGCACGAAGGGTTTTTAAAAGTGTTTCGTCGTCACTGTCACTTTCACTCAGATCATGGACTTGTCCTACAAGCTGATTTTCTTCTACTTGACTCTGCGGCTCACTTTCCTGTTTCTCCAACGCATGTAATGTAGAGATAGTCTCTTCTTCGACACGTCGATCGAAAGTTTCCATTCGCTGAAATACGATACTGATAATCTGCTGTAACGTGGCTTTGGCAACAGTCCTATTAGTGGCACTTTTGCTTACTAAATGCACGTGATAACATGCCCTAACAGCTCTCAACAGCGCATGTTCATGAACTTCACACGTTGGAGTCGTCACAGCTGTTAACAAAACTCGTAACACTTGAATTTGAACTCCTTCGTCTGAATGATCGTTACAGTCGCAAGCAACTTCGACAATGCAGTCAATAAGTCGGTAATTGTCTTCATTCGCATCGTCTTCTCCACTAACATCCCGATTGCTACCTAATGGTGTCGAAAGACCAAATGTCGGAGTTGGAACGGACCCGGGTGGAGCCGTTCCAGATCCAGACCCCGAGCCAAGTCCGAGGGCAAAACCTGACCGACGACCTGAAGACGCGGACGAAGCCGCTGCTTTCTGTACGAGACGCCGTCTAACACCTTCAGGGAATGCACCTGCTTCTTTCAAAAATCCAAAAGCCAAAAACTTTTCCATACAATCCAAGGCCACGGCCACAAGTTTCGCGTGGCGAGTAAGACATGCCAATAAAAATGGCTCAAAAGGTACTTCCAGTGTATCATTCTGACTTGCAGCTATAGCTTTGGCCTGTGCTGCGTCTACCATATCACGTAACTCGCGGTGACTGCGGGTACACGTCTTACGTAACTTACTCAGTGACTTGAGCACAAGGGCCTCCATGACGTCTAACTGGATGAAAGTTGCGTTACAATGAAAAGCGAAGGGGAATACAAAGAATCACTACCAGCGAAAAAGACAAATGCGTTGGGATACCGAGACAAGAGCCGTGAGTGCTGCAATAGACGTACAATGCGCCAACAAGTAATGCGGAGTCGTCTTTAGTCGTAACGACGCGATCTTGGACTCGATTGGTTGAATCAGGAATGCATGTGGACCACATTGCACTTACCGCGTCGTCCATCAGTTTTGAGTCAGATGATGCAGCGGCTCTCGTGTGGGCTTGACGCGACGGTTAGGCCTCGACGCTTTTTCGCTGCTTCCTCCCGAGTTGTCTTGCTTCCAAGTGCTTTGAATTCCTCAATTAATGCTGTAAATTTGCGTGTCTTGAGTGTCGCTCGTGCCGCTCCAAAGCTGGTGAAACCTGGACGCATTGTACGCCGTCGAAAGCAGCTTTTATTTTCCACGCTTCAAAATGCACATGAAGATCCAGGTTTAATAAAGAAGTCAAGCAAGAGATCCAAATTTTTTGTGCACGAGTGCATAGTCCAGCAGGGAATGCCATTAGAGGACGTTTTGCCACTAATCAAGAACGAAATTCGCGCAAAGACGCTTCGGGCAACGATGACACGTCAAGCAGTGGATTCGTTCTATTTCTATTGCGCTCAATATGCAGCGGAAAGGAAAATTTCGGACCGATTCAGGCGTCAAGTGCTGCAGTACTTTGACAATGAAATTTTTGTGTATAATGACGAACAGGCTACAGAATCTTTCATTCTTGGAAAGACATTGAATGAAGCAGTGTTTTGTTCTGTAATTAAGCTGCACTTAGCAGGTGGAGACTTAAATGCAGCTTGGTTGCTTCTTGAAAAGCTAAGACATGCTGTCCGAAGAAGCAGCGAGACGATGAAGCTACACTTTCGAACAGTTAGTCCCTACCTCGAGCATGAATGCAAACACGGCGACTTTCTGAGTGCGTACGTAAGGTGGCAGCAGCTCAAGCAGCATGACGTGGAATGGACTAGTGCCATGGAGGACGTACTGGTACAGATTGTTGTCGCTTGCGTAAATCACGAGCACCGAGTGAATCAATACATTGATGTACCCTCAAGCAAAGCTAGTGAGGTGCCTTTTCACGTGCAAATGACGTCGTTGCTCCATGATTTGCAACTAACGTGTCGTGAAGTCTCTATGCCGAATGCTCAATCTCTAGTGCGCGCTTTTCGCTCTGCTGGATACAGTGTTGACACTGTACCGAGCGACCATCGGATGAGACCTCAATGTCCGTCGTGTGGGCACGCTTTAAAAAAACAGGGATTGACCAAGCAAGAATGTGCACAAATGCTGATCGCGATTGAGTCCCGCCATAGTAAATTTGCACCGGAGAAGACAATTAAAGAATTTCTTGATCCATTTCGAGATTGGTTAAAGCGTCGCCATGAAGCTTTTAAGCAGCAATCAATCGCAAGTGACGAGAAGAGCAAAAAGCTGCATTATGTGCTTGACGGGCCGAATATTGCGTACATTAATCAAAACTTTGAAGCTGGCACGTATCGTTTAGATCAAGTGGATGCTGTAGCGAAGCATTTACAGGCTGAGGGACACTTTGTGAGTATAACGATGCCTGCAAATTATCTCGCGGACAAATTTCTGGTACGTGTTCGAAACAACCAGACGCGTCATTCAGGCAAATTTGCTTTTCGTGGACGGACCGACGAAGAGAAGGATATTTTAGCGCGCTGGAGACAGGAAGATCTGATCTACAGCTGTCGTACAGATTTTCTATCGGATGATCTCTTTTGGTTATACGCAAGTGTAATTCTAGCTGATGATGGCCGTGTAGTAACTAATGATCAAGGTCGTGATCATGTCTTTGCACTTTTAAATGGCTTTGCTACGACTAAAGCCAATGCTAGGACCCAAAAGAATGGAAAAAAGAGTCTTGCCACAGTACAAGCAGAAATCGAGCAGCCTGGTGTAATTTCTTTCTCTATGGACCTCATTGCGCGCTGGAAGGAGATGACGATCGTGAATGTCGAGATCAAGCACAACGAACGTGCAGTGAAAGCTGCTATCGCAGGTGACTGGAAGACACTACTGCCCATTGAGTCCATCAAATTGCATCATCCACTTCCGTTCTCACGCGTTCCACAAGTGACAGCTCTTCGTCATTTTCACTTTCCAATTACAATGCACGCTAATCAGAATGAGCATCCAAATCAAGTGCAGAGCCAGCGGAAAGGCACGCAATGGCTTTGCGTTCATCAACTGACCCAATTTAGATCCACACTTTTACATCAAAAATGACACCAATCGCACATAATCTAAATAGTACAATGAACACTAATGCGAATATTGATTGGTTGCTCACATCCTCACGACCTGAAAAAACTTCAGCTGCTGAAGTAGATAAATGTGTAAGTAGATTTGCTGAGGGTACACTAGCAGAAGAAGATACGGAAATGACATTTGAATGGTGTAACGACAGATTGTTTGATTAAAGAGCTTATATTGAATCCAATAAAAAATTGTAAGCACAACCGTGTGACGGCTACATGACACGCTGGCTTACTGATATTCACACCGGCCATTTGAACAATAGAATCCTTTGCTGCACTTAGGGATGAAAAGGGCAGTGGCCGGATTAAAGCACTCCGTGCCGTTTGGCTTGCGACACGTCGTCTCTCCTTTCGGGCAGTACATTCCAGAATCGCAATGCACATAACAAATATTGTCGGAAGGACTCTGTTCAACAGAGTTTATACGAAGATGTACAGAAGCTTGTTCCTCCGCCGAGGACGGCTGTAGAAGGCACACAACGGCGAAAGCGGCGGCGGTGAAGAAGGCTGAACACTTCATGGTGAATATAATGACACGAATCTGATCGACGGACGGGAAATCAGGAAGTGAGCAAGATATGCAAGTCAATTTTTAAATCAGTTTTTCTTGTACATAATGGAAATGGGTTTGAATTCGTTGATTTGCCAAATATAGTCTTTCACATTCCGCATTACAACCAATGTCGTCACATTTCAATTTGTAGCCACTTTTTTATAAGGTGTCAGCTACAACTTTTGACATACCGGTCCAGCGATCTTCACTCGCCCCGCATATCACAAATCCTAAAAATTAATAGTGTAAGAGCTAGTCAAGCGCATTTTCTGTGATCAATTGCGTCCTTGGCTCTCAAATATGCGTGTGATAGATTGTCTTAATACAAAGCCGCGAGTGCCAAATCATTCAAATGTAGTTGAATAGGGCATATGCTTTCATTACCAGCCCTGTCACCTACGCCAATGACTGCTATCATTGCGCATCCACTAGTCAAGACGTTGCGTGCCTCAAACATGCTTTAACCCGGATTGCTGTACGATTGATGATTGAAACGTCATCACGACACTCCCAAAACGACGCCGATAGAAGTACAACTGACTCCTCCAGAGTTATACAGAGCGAGATCTAGGCTGCTGAGCTTTAATTTCTGCAGAGGCGCATAAAATCAATTGAAACGAAAGCTTTAGACAGTCATGGACTTTGCCTTGCTCCGACAGAGCAGCAGTGCATCACAGAAGTAGGTAACATTTGAGACAGTAGACTATGTGTGACGATGGGCAATGAATGGCATGTGGTTCACTTAAAAAATAGACATTTCCCACATAGAATTTTCTCAAGTGACTGATGTCAGGGGCCTTTACAAAATCTAATTAGGTTTACCGGATGCGGATGATATTATCATTTAGCCATAAGAGCTGTTGGACTACGTCCAAGAGTCGAAAGCTTAATTAGCTGGAAAACTGGGTGACCTTTTTACTTAATAAAAAACAGTTACAATACATCTGAACGATCTACGAATATGCAGGCCTTCCCCTTATACCTACACAAGTTGGAAAAGCTGTGGATGCTGCGTTCAATGCAAAAACAACTTTCGAACGCCAAGAGTGTTTTAAATTACGAAATGTGTAGCCAATGTGAGCAACTCAAAGACGATTGTTCGCTCAGCTTAGCTGAGCGAACAATCGGCTAAAAAGCAGCATCGTGGTATCCGTAGGTACTACATCTATACAATTATATATGGCGTTTATGATGTGCAAAGGGTCGAGCTCCAACACAGAGCCTGTCAACAGTCTTCTTAAAATAAACGTCGAGCTCAAGTGGATGCAGGGTGGCCAGCTGAGATACATTTTTTGTGGCGAACAAAGTCAATGGAACCCAGCTCTAGAGGAAGCTATGCTTCCTATGAGAAATGAAGTCCGACCCAAGCTTATTGATCATTAAGATGGATTAGTAAAGTCATTTAACGCTTTGATGAAAGACAGGGCGTCCACCAACTCTGCGCGATATCATACTGTTAGAAAAATAACTTGCTTTATACCAAGCACAATCTTATATTCATCTGCCTCGCGGCGAGATTGTGTCGAATGTGCTAGTGAGAGTTCGAGTATCGTCTCGTGACTTCGATAGCGTAGACCAAAGAAATGAAACCAAAGGCGATACGGCTCGGCGGCTACACCACGAGCCATCGATCGACTGAAAGGTAAAAACGATACCTCTTTTCTAGCTGATCTTTTTGGTGATTTATGAATGCATATCTGGTCGAAAGCAATAATACTTTGGTGGTGGGCGGCATTTATGGCGAAGGACATGTGAGATGTTTAAGATGATGCGCGAATCTCAGCTTATGCTATATGAATGTCATTATGACACTCCATGGGTGTGTCATGGAATTAACTAAGTCATCGGAAACAAATACTACGTGGCGATACAATGGTCTTAGTCAAGAGAAAAATGCATGCTTTAGACGATATCTGCCTCGCAACGCATGAGGCGGGTCTAATAGGAGAGTGATTCTACCAATCGACATCGACGAATATGTATCGAAAAGAGCAAGACATGCATGCTTTTGGATGTTTGACGCAGCAGAAGTATAGAGCGAGCGCCAGGTTTCACACAAAGAACCTCTGCAGAATAGTATGATTAGGTGAATCTTGTACAGCGCTCTCGGCTTAGGAAACGGGCACTACCAGCGGCCCATTTAAGTGATACCCCCTACTGCAGCGTGTCATCAAGCGGGTTGTCGTTTGAGTGGCTATATATGTCATAGAGGAAAATGCGTAAGCTCTCATCTAGTGACAAAGACGTACAGTCCTAGTCGTAGACAAATACGACGATATGTTTGTTTGTACTTACTGAGCACGGAAAATGGGGTCTCGATATCCGGATTAATTGTTAAGAGCTGTGCTCGAGTGTATGCGCTGAACGAAGCTATTTGCCAATGTAAACAAATATGTCTTTGGCGCTGACGATTTTTTTCTCAGAATGGTATATCGGAAAGCAAGATGCCAGGGCAGATTCTGCTGAGATCAACGCCATGGTAGATTGGTTGTTCGGGCGTTCTGGATGTTACTTGTCTGAGCAACTACTCTCAAACCTAAAATTTTGACATTTCAAGCATTGCACGCCCTCTCCAGCCTTTAAACGATTTGATAGGAATCAGGACATCAGAAGAGATGGACTTCAAGGTCGTTTAGTGTGACTGTTTATTCAAGCCCTTTTGTATGTAGACAGACTTCCACATTGAAGTTGACGCTTCGGTCTTTGCTAAAGGTGCGCTTTGCTATAAGTTGGCGTCAACGGTCATAAAATAAGTTATAGTAATTGAGAATCACTAGCTAATAGCTGCAGAGAAGTAGTATCCAGCTCAAGTAAAAAACTACTTGCCATGAAGTTGTTATTGGAAAGTCCAGGATATCTGCTCAATTCTAAATCATCTGTCATCGATACAGTCATGTGTCATTAGGCACGGCGACATCGTCGCTACAATTCTCGCAGGGAATGACAACATGTTTATCTTCCGTGTAGAAATCGACATTGGCTTCATATAGATGCGAAAACGTCTTTACGCCTTTCTTTCATATCAAAATTTTGACTGCAAGTAGCATTGGCGATGCCATCCTTCTAGCGTACGAATCAGACGTAACTGATATTGCTTTGCGTTAAAACTTAGGATGGCAAGAAGTTTTTATGCCCAAATGTTGAGGTGCTTGCAACTATTTTCACCGCTACTTTGGTAGCATGACGTACTAAAGTAAGGATACGTTAAACACAATGTTTGAACGTACTTCATGTTGAATACTAATAATTATATATTATCAATTGAGTTTCATGTAATTGGGAGAGCATTTCAGCAATGAGAAGACATTTATATCTTAATTTACATTATGCGTCGGCGAGTTCAAAAATACAAATGGGAGTGCTCAAGGGTTAGAGGTGTCCGATGATCGGACCTTCGCCGCATGCCTTTGTTCCTTTTCTCAGCTGGCCAGTCCCGGCAAAGTAATGATTATCCACTCGGATGTTTTATTGGATACTTGTTCTTATTCCAGTAACTTGTACGCGTTAGTCGTGCAAAATGACGTATAATCCCAATGTCAGCGATACTGGTACTGGTGAAGATACCGCCCAACACGGGCAAATAAAGCTCCATATAGGATAAATATTTTTGTAGCAGAACATCCACAGCCCGCGATGACCGAACGAATCACGTAAATCAAGCGGTAATGAATATTCTTCGAAGAAACAGCACAGAGCAATCGATTGCTAGATCGATAAGCATAATTGCTTCTCCGATGAACAGCACACTTTCTGTCTCTACAGGCTCCATCCTTGCTTTAGCGTTTATATGATGTATTCATGGAGAAGAATTGATTTAGCATATTTTCGACTCACTGATGTGTACCCTTCTACCTCTGGGAGCAAAAGTCACTAATATCCCTAAGAAATTAAGTTTGCTGCGCCAAGTGCTCGACGCTTTGGCTGAAGCCAGCCAAACACTAAGATGCAAATGACAAAAGTTACAATCATGTGTAAAACATAGGTTGTGGTATTATATAACACACTTGATCGACTTGCACATGCAGTGCATTTTTTCAAAATGAGGGCGCTCTCGCTACACAGAGCGCTTTTGATCGCAGCAAAGGAGAGTATGAAATATACTCTCGGCATTCCTCCTCTCCGCCAATGAAATGCAAGCTAGTGCAACCACCGGAACGCGACCAGTGACAAAATTATAACTCAATAGACCCCCCTGTGGCTACCTTCTTGCTTTGCGACCGCTTAAGATCCCTCAAGCCAGTAGATTCATTCGTGAGTAAAATTGGATGCGCGATGAGACGGTAGGAGGAGTCGATGCGCTTCATCAGACCCTACATATTATCTGCAGCTGAGCTATTTTCTACTCTAGATCAGCGGCGCAATCATATGATATGGGGATGCTTCAAATGATGACTACGCTCAGTGAGTGAATTCGGAATTTGACTCATGTCAGCCTCGGACGCGCGTTGTGGCGCGAGAGAGTCATGACGTGCCGTTACAACTGAGAGAGCTCACGAGAGCCAGCCAAGGGGACATCCATCAGCACTGTTCGATGGTCAAGGGACCAGCGGGTATACTTGGTTTGTAACCGGTATTTAGTGAAGTGAAAACGATACAAATATGCATGAATCTTATAGAGTTTATGTTTAATTTTGGCAAGGCCGTCGCTGCTCACGACCTGGCACACCCTCGAACTTTATCCCTTCACATAAGAGACGAGCCACCGCTTCCATCGGTAGATGACGACTGATCTTGTGGTGAGTATGACTCTTGGGCAGTAGCTGTTTACAGCGAGTTCAGAGAGACGAGTCGGCTGTAATCAACAAATATGTTTTCACCTCAACGTCTTTGTCGTGCGTTGTACATCGCGAAGTCAAGCATGAGCCGGCGCCCTAGGCAAAAATACGCTGGTTAATTAGGCCCTAACTCGAGTTAGACGGTGTGGTTTCCTCTACTTGTGAACTAACTGAGTCTGACACCATATGACACTCTTGATATCTTTAATTACCATTGGTTACATCCCTTAGGGTGAACACTGGGTCTCCTAATTGCTCCGACTTGGAATTTAGGTGGCATTTCGGAAAGTAATGACCCGCGGGTTGACAACACGTTCGCGGATCGTAATTTGAAGGTGATTCAGCTTTTGGCTTGGGTTAAAATCCGCACGCCTCTGCGCTCGCGCCGGGAGTTCTTTTAACAGTTTGATACAGTAATCATGGGATCATGATTTGGGCCAGAGTCGGCACATTTTTGAGTTTGCAGTAAATCTAGCGAGTATTATAAGCCGAGTTTTATTCACCAACGTCGGGCTGGACATCATTGTGAGCTCCACGGCGAAGGTGTCGCAACCATTCCTGCCGCCGAATACACCAGACGGATTCCGAAACTCTTACAGAGGTAAGGTTTAGCCTTGTGAGAATGTTCCTTAAGTCTTATGTCGTTGGGTGAGAGCGGAGGATGTCAGTCAGAATTTACAGGGCGACAAATGGCCCTTGATGGAGAACATCTTAGCATTTACACCACATATATCTCAAGCTTTCCTATCCTGAACACCGCGCCATTTTTTAAAGAATCGTTAAATGATTAGTTTTGATGCACGCGAATGAAAATTGGTGAAAAAAAAATATTCTTAAGAGGCAGCTGGCAAATGCAGAGGGGAGAGATAGACTCTGGGTTTGGTATATCAAAGAGCGGTGGCTTTTGCACAACGTTTTGAAAAGGGAAAAGAAGCGTCAATTAAATGTGGTGCTTCACTGAGCGGGAGGAAATCGGGGTAAGGAATGAAATTTCGTGTACATTCCTAACACAAGTGGAATACTTGAAATATATGTACTGCAAAAATGTACAAAATTCAAACCTCACATTAATGTGATTGCAAACATTATATGTACTAAAGAATTGGCATTTATTAAGATGATGAACCCAACAAAATATTAGGGAAGAAAAAGTAGGTTTGTGGTACATTTAAGCTGCTAGCCGCACTTCAAAACGATAGTTAAATGATAAAAGCTTGAAGAATATTTATCGATCAAACTCGTCTGGAATCACTAGCTCTAAAGAGTGTATTTTTGAAAAAATGCAGAGCATATTAGAGGCTAAGTCACAACCGAGCGTTTTGGCTCAGATGGCACGAAACGGAAATCTGATTGTTTGATAGCTCGGTTTCTTTGAGTTGCTTTCGTCAAGCGGAGTACGGCAACTCCATCCAGGTACTCTCTAGCACTTTTCTGCACAGTGATGTGATTGGATACCCATTTGTACATTTACAATCACCGGCGCATGGCCTTAAAAAACCCGCAAGAGCTTTATAGCCCAAAATATCCTCCGGATGGAGTATGACTCGAAGAACGTGGATATTAGATCTCACGTTCAAACGTCATGTTTCAAAAGATCTTCACTTTAGTACATCGTGTCAACGATGTAGCGGGAAAAATAGTTGAAAGCGCTAGAATATAGGGTTCAAATACTACTTGCCTTCCCAGGCTTAAAAATCAAGAAACACAAGTTACATCTGCTTCGTATGCTGTAAGAAAAGCACCATGGATGATGGTTGTCGAAATTTGATTATTCAACGTTGTACTATTCGGGCGGCGCGAAGTCGTTTCCGTTTCTATATGG